GACAAACCCAGTCATCAAGATGGACGAAGCTCTGCACAAATAGTGCCAAAAGGAGGGGTCTCACGAATTGGCCGTTCTGAAACGTATATTATTGGTATAATTCAGAAACAGCAACTGAACTTCAGATTGTTTCCGACGGATTCAAAAGTTTTTGAATCCAGCAGCACGATGAGATTATTCAAGTCAGCATTCACACAGGGGAATGTCGTGCAATGCCGAGCCTCGGCCAAAGCTATGAGCAATTTGCATGGGGAATTTTGTGTCCTCCGAGCGATGGAAGACCCTGGGCAACAAGAAGATAAAGCACATACTCACCTCCGTGGATCCTGGTCCTTGCTATGTTCGAGGCGAATAGGCTACAGCTGCAGTGCGTCTACTTTCTGTGCTTAAAAGTGCACAGGAATGGGGCTGGAGAGTAGCGATACCCGGCTGCCGTCACCTGATTGCCCGCGCTGCCGCACAGCTAGCCCCCCCCCCTTCCAACCATATCCAAGCCCGCTGCTTGTCTGCAGCTTTTCATTTCTCCTTGTTCTTTCACGCTACCTACTTGTCCTCTGCAGGATTCAGTATCGACACCGAAGAAAGTGGCACGCCACTGCACTGGGACCGTACTAGGTGTGCGTGTACAGTTTGTCTCTGCATAGGGACGAAACCTACCTTGAATCTTTCTTTAGCCAGAGCGAATGTTGACATCTGCGAATCGGGTGCTGCCGGTTTATCCTCCTTTTTGGCGTTACCATTCTCATCAGTGCTCTCCGTATGCTAAAAACACATATTGTAGCAAAATGGAATCGGTTTCAGTTCGTTCTTTTGTCTCCCTGTCTAGGCGTTTATTCTCAATATTATCAATTTGAACGATGGATTTCGAGGGTGTGAAGCAATAGTCCAAACAATATAGTAATTGAATCTATGGAAGGAAAGGAAAACGAAGAAAAACTGAGTCTCCCAAAAAAAGAAAAAAAGCAGATATCGGAATAAGATGGTGGGCCAGGCCAAAAAAAAGAAATACAGTCGTCATCCGGGCTGTTGATTAGGCGGCCAAAGGGTCGCGTACGCGGCTGGAGCGCGTCACGACGGCGGCGATCAGCTGTTTCCAGCCTAATTTCAGCCATTTTTTTCCCTTAATTTTCATCAGATGTTTTTGAGTTCAGTTAGAATTGCTCCTTTCCTAATTTTTGCGGACCTAAACAATCAAGCAAACAATTAAACAAATACTTGAAAAAAATCGAAAAAACCCTTCATTACAAAAAGAAAAATCCACATCCTACTATACTTCATAAGACAAAAAACAAGTTATACTTGAAAAATGAGTGGTAACGAATCACCAGTAAAAATTAGGGAATACCTGGTAAAACAACATCGACTTTCGCGCTTCTTCTTCGCGATTTTCTAATACGAGATATCTGAAAAGGATTTATATAACGTTTCAAGAAGTTCAACAGCAGTCAGCCATTCTGAGCTACATATCGTTATTGGCTGGGGCTGGAAAGCAAATGTGGCCCTGCCAAACAACTCTAGGGCAATCATTTCGAGCCTTTTTTATTAAGAAATTGAGCTAATTTTCCGATTTTTCCAAGACCCAAGTTGCCTGAGTTGAACTCTTACAGATTTCAGTAATTCCTAAGTTTTACCGAGGGCTCTGAGGTGCACGTGCAAGAATACAGAGTGCAGGAATAAGAAGCAGTAGTGGAACACCCATAGCAATATGCCAAGTAGATGGCCGTCCAAGAAGCTCTTCCAGTGATATCACCATACCAGCCAATTCGCCCAGACACGCCCACACAGTCTGAAATAGACAACTGTTCCCGGAAGAACAAAGATTTGATCGTTATTTGACATAACAATACTCTCGGGCAAATTGGTAAACTGAATGAAAGCTTTTAAGCTCCTACCAGCGTGGCTAGTGCAATGCCTCGCTTTTGTGGAGGCAGCTCCGTGAGCATAACTGAACCGGAAGTCTGAATAACTTTGTGGAATGTATTGGCCTTCACTTCATAAAAAACTGCTCGTAACCACCTGCACAATGCCCTGCCCACAGCCATTAACAAATCGGCCAATAGTAGCTGCCATCATACCCATTTTTACATTGACAGTGAGTAGTGTGAGAAGAATACCTATGAGATCCAATATACTTCCTGAAATGATATTGGATCACTTCGGGGAAGACGAAAAAGGTTGAATGAAAGGATTAAAATTGATGTTCTCTTGGACAAGTTTGATTTCTATTTGAGATGCGCCACA